CCATTTGCCCTGATATCGTCTCTCCATTGTCGCAATGTCCTGGTGACATCGCTCACCATGCTTGTCGCTCGCTGCTCCGCAGTTCGGTGGGAAATACACGAGATGAGAGGGCAAAAAAATGTATCTTGAGTGACATGTTGCAACCAAGGCTTTTGAATGCCTTGAGGAGGTTTTCCACCAACTCCCTGTAGTTGTCTGCCTTGTTGTTTCCGAGAAAATTTGTTGCCACTAACTGGAAGGCTTTCCATGCCGTCTTTTCCTTGCCACGCAGTGCACTGTCAAATGCATCATCTCAGAGGAGTTCACGAATCTGAGGACCAACAAAGAGACTTTCCTTTATCTTAGCTTCACTTAACCTTGGAAATTTTCCAAGGTTAAGTGAAGCTAAGATAAAACATGCTCTGATATGCTCTGATAATTATCAGAGCATGTTTTGTTTGCATGTTCACCACAAGTACTGTGTGATTATAACAGAATGTATTCCTCGCAAAAGGTAACTATTTGGTGTTTGAACATCTTAACACCTAAATTTTGATTTAAAGCTTTCGTGACTGCAGGGATTCATATTCTTGGTTCTTTCGGTAAAGTCACGTAGAAGGGAAACAATAAAAGAATAAAAAATAAAAAAATAAAAAAATAAAATTCTCACGACGTTTCGACTGCAACACAAGCAATCATCATCATGTGTGAAACCCACAGCAAGAAAATTATTTTATTGTTTCCCTTCTACGTGACTTTACCGAAAGAAACAAGAATATCTTAACACCTGTTTTATTGCCACAAAGGGTAAAACCTATTCTTATTTTTCATATTTTTATTAATTATTATCTATAATTATCATTCATGATATTTATATATTTGTTTTTCCTTCTTCCTGTGTTGGGAGGGGTCACCTCACATCCGTCGTATTCACAAAACGCGATGAACCTTACCCCTGAATGATTAATATATTTTTGTTTAGACCTAACATAAAAATGTATGCATGTGCAAAGATTAGGCCCGTAGATTAATCTTAATTATTATTATTTTCAGTCCTGCATCTGTCAATGGAAGTCATTCTGAACATTTGTTAAACTAAATTAAATATGCCTTTGTGTCCTGACTTTTGAGCCATCCCTGTATATGTAAAATATATTTATTTCAGGAGAGTCCTGCTGCGTAATTGACTTTTAATTTAAGATGTTTTCAGCCACACGAATGACGAGCCGTGTTTGTTATACACGCCCACGGAGGAAACCGGAGTCTCGGGAGAAAACCCACACCTTGTGCAAGGGGTGAACACTCTATCCCCGCCGTACAGACGGAATAAACAGTTAGAGATGAGTCCACACTTGCTGTACCACCTTCTCCTGGCAAATCAGGGCACCACGGTGTTAGCAACCTCGCCTGGTATACAGGAGGTCGTGGGGTCGATCCCGACCTTGACTCGTGTATGTTTAGAGTTTGTGTGTCTCTCTCGCCGTGGTCGCGTGGACATTTAGAATCAACATCACGCGTTTAAAGTATTTGGCTGCTATAAATATCCACACGATAAGCCACTTCGTTGAGCTATCATTTGTGATAGGCAGCTCGCTTCTGAAAAGAGCTACATAGCTCAGTGGGCCTTACCGGGTAAAATAAAATAAAATGTTTATAGTTTAAAATAGTTTCGTTAAAAAAAACTCCTCAACGTCCACGGGAAGAGGAATTTCACATCATCTGTGTGTGATCCACCAACCCCTCGCTGCTGCTGCTGCCTCCACGATGCTACTTGAGGCAGTCATGTGCAGTGTGGCAGCCACCACCACCAAACACCACCACCACCACCCAGTTGCAGTGTTCAGTTTTTGGTAATTATTTTTTTACACTTAACTCAAGTGTAGGCTGCAAGAGCGTTACCAAATAAAATAAAACAATTAAAACCACAACATCGATGATGGAAACGAAATACTATGAACTATTATTATTATTACTCTGCAAATGTGATTTGCAGTCACCAATGGGAACGCGACCAAGACGCGGCCGTGTTGGGGGGTGGGGGCTTTGTCAAATGTCACCCAGACGGAGAAACGGCTCCGTGGTTGGGAACTTGCTCACCAACATAGCCGGGGGGGGGGGGGGGTCTGTGGGGGGGAGGGTAGGGGGGGTGGTGGGGGGGGTGGTAGGAGGGGGTGGTAGGGGGGTGGTAGGGGGGGGTCTGTGGGGGGGAGGATAGGGGGGTGGTAGGGGGGTGTTGGGGGGGGGGTCTGTGGGGGGGGTGATAGGGGGGTGGTGGGGGGGGGGTCTGTGGGCTGTGAGGGGGAGGGTAGGGGTGGTGGGGGGGGTCTGTGGGGGGGAGGGTAGGGGGGGTCTGTGGGGGGGAGGGTAGGGGGGTGGTGGGGGGGGGTCTGTGGGGGGAGGGTAGGGGGGGTGGTAGGGGGGGGCAATTTCCGACGACCGTCGCTGACGTCACAAGCAGCCAAGAAGAGGCCGATGGACCCCACGGGACATCGTGAACGCCATTCCTGCACAAGACGTCTCTGGAGGTTTTGGTTGCTCGGTTTTTTGAACGCTCATCGGCAAAGCCGCAGCCCCCCCCCCGCCACACAACACCACTCGGCACATTCCGCTGGCCACTGCGATAGGGCAGCGTTCATTAAAGGTCAGGAGGTCACGGGTTAAATGTTAAGGGTGCTGCTGCTGCTGCTGCTACTGCCAGGCAAACTGCAGACTCGCGGCTGTCGATGGGTCTCCCCGCTCGAGGGGGGCTCTACAGAGACCCCCACTCTGCAGGGCGAGTGTGGGTTGGCCGACTCTTTCACGCGGGGCGATGTGGCCAGGAAACACGGCAGCAGAGCTATGGAGTTTTTTTAATCCATCCGTGAGGAGCTTAAAGCGCCACAGCCCAGCTCTGATAATAACCTTGCTCAAAACTCAAGACACGTGTCAAGCACTCGTGTATGTCACAACTATGACCAAACACTCAGAAATGTTGTAGATGGGAATAATAAATAATAACGTTCATTCAATAAACACGATCTCCAGATCTAGAGGGAAAACATCGGAGCTGGCACCAGCGGCGATGCATGTGCCTGCCCCCCCACCCGGCCCATTGTGACCCACGGCCTCTCGACTCTATAAAATGTTTTTTTTATATTTTACCAGGCAAGGCCCACTGAGCAATTTGGCTCTTTTGTCAGAAGCGACCTGGCTATCAAAAATGACAGCCCAACGAAGTGGCTCATCATCATCATCATCGTGGAAATGTATCGCAGCCAAATAAACCCTGGAAGGGCACGCTTCTGAATGTGGAGCGAAACACCGGAGGTGCCGGAGACAAATCCACGCGACCACGGGGAGAGAGAGACGCGCAGACTCCAAATACACAGCAGCAGCAGGCGTGGTCAGGCGAGGGATCGAGCCCACGACCTCCTGCACACCAGGCGAGGTGGTTAACGCCTCTCCACCGCTGGGTGGCGGGAGGTCGTTCACAGCTCGCTGCTCGCCGGTAGCGCGGCGCCTCCTGGTGGCCGTCTTCATCCATGACAGCTGCCCCGTGGGGCAAGGGGGGCCGGGTCGGGGGTCCGTCCCGCACGCTGCAACAATAAACTCTGTGGGCAGACGGACCACGGCAGGGCATCCGCACGTGGTAGGGAGTTATAGAGAGGCATGGTGGCAGGGGGAGTGTGAACGTAGCAGGGAGTCCACACGTGGCAAGGAGTTATTGTTGGAGGACGACTGCCTTCATGTGTCCAGTAGCAACGTCCTTCCCGAGCCTCCTACAGAGGTGGATCTTGACACTGTTGGTACAGACCACGTGCGTAGCAACCACCACCCGGATAAAGATGCAACTACAGCATTTAGATAAACAGACAAGAGGATATTCGAGGTTAATACAAATGTACGTTTACACATTGGCGAGCGTGTATTAACTCCGTGTGTCGATGTATGTGTTGAACTTCTTTCGCACCGTACGTAGCCAACCGTGCTAATCGGATGGCGTCTGGGGTGAACAGATCTGGATTTTATTTGCACCTCTTGCAAGCCGCGCGTACTGGGGAAAGGGTTGGTGGTAGTGGTGGTGGTGTGAGTGGCAGATGTCGCTTGACCGCTGGCCCATTTAGAGAGTTCAACTCTCACACACACAGACCCATGGTATTCAATAGCATGTGATGTGAGTGGCGGATGGAATTTTGCCACAATGACAATTGCACTCACGAAGAGACAGCACAGACGAGTAGCAGAGTGATGTAACTTGCTGACCCGCCCAAATTGGACATCTGTCAAACTAAAGCTCCATAGCTCATCGGATTCCTCTGCAGTCTAAATAAAGATCCCGAGTCTTAGATAGCCACAGTCCTACAGAGACCCGCAGACCTCACAATAAGCATGGTATTTCCCCCTTCCACACGTATCAATAATTGGACGAAAGCATCCGAATCTCTACGTGCCTCTGTGTTGCGTGTGAATCATGCAGCGGTTTCATTGGTGCTGTATCAGAAAATGTATTTATACTGCAGGAACCCGATGAGCTATAAGGCTCTTTTTTTACAGATGTCCAGCTGTCACAGGTGGCTTTTTGTACAGCATCTTCTTCAGATGCAGTTGCCTTCAGTAATTAAATATAACTTATATCGTCTTGCCAATTCACTGTTAGGTTGAAGGCTTTCCCAAGCCATGTCGAGCACGAGGAGTGTTTGACCATAATTCACCACGCTGGTCCCCGTCAGTGCGATTTGGTGGAGTGGCAGGGACTGGACCAGACTTGGCTCGCCCATTGTTACAAAGCATCCGTGACGGCCAGCAGCACGCCCGGCCGCCTTTGCCTCCCAGGTAAGCAACGTCTACACGCCGCACCAGGCACCCACCAGATGCCCATTTAAGGTTGAAGCGACCTCGGGGAGGGCCGCAGCATTGCTCACCACTGCTGTCGGCCTTAGGCGAGAGTCAAAGTCAGGTGGCTGGATGCACATTTGCGGTGCGCTCGCCACTGCGCCACCGCTCCATACATCGACGATGGAGCACGACGCAAGGCGACCAAGTTGTGTTTACAAAAAGTCAATTTTATTATTCACGTTACTTTCTTTTCCTTATTAAATAATCCAAAAAAGAAAACCTTTCATGTGTTACAGTACGTTACTAGGACTGCGTGGGCTTGCGTGAACAACACAGGGGGGGGTGGGGGGTGGGGGCGTTCAGTTGGGCAGAGCGCTCCAGGGCGCTTTTCCATTGCACGGCTTCGTGAGCAGCCCAGGGCGCACCATCGCGCTCACAACGGCTCGGTTGGCGCGTGTCGAAAGCCAACCAATCGGAGGCGCCGAACCTTCCCGCGCGAACGCAACACGCGGGCTTATTGGCCGAGCAGGTCCGTGACGTCACAATGCCGTTGCTCGGCGCCGTCCAATCAGAGCCGCGTAGGAGCGCCACTGCAGAGCGCTCTCGGCCCATCGCTGAACGCAGCCCCAGCAGTAAATTCGTGAAAACAAAATAACAATCTTACAATGCGAATCAGCGGCGTGCATTTTTTTTTTGCCGAGCATCCTGGCAAATATTTTTTTTTCGTTAATTAAAAACCACACACGCACAGTCGCGCACACAATGAGACACCTTAAACCAGAGTAAATGCAACGTCGCAAACAAAAGGTTTGCGTTATTCACAAAGTCGGGTGGGAATGATGGCAACCATGGAAATTGTAATCGTCAAGCACGAATGAAATTGTATCAAGTAGAAATCGATAAGGCAGTAGAGCTCCGATGCTTTACGTCACCTTAAGACACTGCATCTGGAAACACTGTACAACAAAACCTGGGTTCATCACACCGAGATGAGGCAGGCAGGGGCGGCATTCGCTGTGAGCGTTAAGACATCGCATTCGTGAAGCCACGCGGGTCCAGAGGTTTACCCCTTCCGAATTAAAGTTCGCCCCCTACTCGCACCCATTCCAAACTTGTCTGGCCAGAGTGGAAAAGTACCGCCTCCCCCTGCTCGAGTTGAGGTCGTCCCTGCAGCAGTTGTACGAGCAAGCTATTGCAGGGCTGCGCCTTCAACTTGGAGATGAGCGGGCTCCCCGTGTCAACACGAGCAAGGCAGGGAGAGGATTCATCTTCTGGCGAGGGCTCGGTGAGAATTCCACATTCCCATGGCGGGGTGGGCGCTTGGGTGGGGTCGACTAGACCCCATCCATAAAACGACCACCGGTAACGCCACCCAATGTTGTACTCATTTTATTAGCGTCAGGGGGATGACGGCGACGAGGATGGTGGTGGTGGTGGTCTCGGCGTTACACTGCGACCGCGAGCACGCCCGCACCACCTGGCTCCGTGTGAACCCAACCTAAAGCCCCCTCCCCCATAATGCACCGGGGGGCGTGAATTAAGGCAAAAGTTCCTCGAGCGCTCGGGAGCCCTCTCCTCCGCCGCCGCGCCGCGTGTCGTCCGTCACCAAGTCCGACGTTTCGCTCCGCGTCCTGCCAATTGAATAATCAGTAATCCCGGCACGTGCGAGCGTGATCGTCGGCGCACTGTGTGGTAACGACATGCGGCGGGGGGTGTGAGGAGGAATACGACGCTACAAGACGCCGGGGAGCTACGCAGAAGCGGTAGCGGCACGGCCGCGGAAGCAGAGCCACGAGAATCCTGCAAACCGGATGAAACAAATCTAGCAGCTTGGTCGCTCGGCTTGAGGGGACCAAAGTCGAACCATAGAAACTCCTGCCGCAGCCGCAGCTGCAGACGCCGAGATAGTTGAGCGCACGATCGTCGGAGCGGATAACGATTCTTTACAATGCACGTCTCTCGTCCTCTTTTCCTTACATCCCCCCCGATGAAAGTCACCGCGGCTCTAAGCCGCGGCGTTGCCACGGGCAAAAATCCACTTCCTCGCGGGAAACCGGACAACGGACTCCGTGGAAGGTGACGACGCAGAACTAATTCTGAGGTCCGGTCCAAATGCCTCTCATCCCCCGCCCCCCCGCCACGGTAAGTTGGTGGCGAGTGCCGCCACCTTCTCACGCGCGCGCTGCGAGCGAGGCGTTTTGTCGCGGTGCAATCAGAGCGAACGGCTCCGTTACATTCTCGGGGAGGTGGGATTCACGGCCGAGCTGAAACCACGCGATCCGTACGAGGGCTCTGTGCAGTCACTTTGGCGAGCGGGCCGAGACCATCGTCACGGCTACACGAGCGTGCACCCCCAACACCGCTTGTTGTCGTGTCTTCGTTCGCTGTCCTTTCCCAGCGCCTACGACCAGCACGGTTCAAAGTACGTACGTTAGTCTAACCGCGGGCGGGCTGCCGACACTCCTGGAATCAAAGACGAGGTCTCGTCGGTCGTGCCGGAACGGGCGTCTCCGTCACCGTCATGGCCCGCCAGCCGCAGCCACACTCGCACCCCGCCAACCCCAACGGGAATTCTTACTCACCGCTCGGCACCGTGAAAAGGGAATGCTGGCTTAGTGCACGCGACGCGGATGGCATCAGCAGCAGCAGCACAAGCGGCGGCGACGACGACGATGCGCTCGCAACACAAAACCCACCCCGTGGATTTCACTTCGTTTGGCGTGCTTACATAAAACAGCAAGCAATTGCATTTTCCATTTTTATTTTTTTTGGCCTCAGGCTTTCTTAAATAATAATAATGCTTACGTAAAAATGTAATTTCAAAAGCAACGATTTACCTTCTTGGGGGTGGGGAGGGGGAAGGATTCTTGTAAGGTTTTGGCGCATCACTCCGCTCTCATTGCCCGCACGGGGGTAGCGAGAGGTGCTGCGATCTGTCCCCGACAGCCCGGCCAAGACCTCTCCCCTCCCCCCCCCCCCCCCATCTCGTTCACCCACCCCCGCTCTCCGCCACACGACAAGGTGACCAAGAGCCTAGACCAGTGTTCTTCGCTAATTTTGCAGAGGGGCGGGAGGGAGGGCCCACTTTCGCCGAGAAGACATCATCAGTGTGAGGAGGGCCGCCACACGTTTAAAACCATTGTTGGATTTGACTGCAGCAGCGCTATGATGACGATGATGATGGGGGGGGGGGGGGGGGGGGGGGTGTTGTCACTCGTGTGGTTGTCGGGAGGCCGCACATCAGGGGCTGCCAGTGGCCCACGAAGCATTCCAGTGAACAACGCTGGCCTAGTCCCTTCACTGACCCTACCAAAGCCTCCCCCCCCCCTCTCTTCGCAAGACGTCTGTCCAGTGTGGAAGAGTAGGCCAACAACAAGCCTCTACAGAGGGGGCAGGGTGTGGGGTGGGGAGATTCTCTCTCTGGAGGTCTCAAAGTGGACGCTCACTTCCGCCGGCAGTGCCACGAGCAGGCACGCTGCAAGGCTGCGCCTTTACCTTCAACGTTTAACAAAAAGTTCTAACCCACCGATACGTGTTAAAAAAAACAACATTTAAATCACCCTGGCAGCCAATAAACGCCCGCGGGAAAGTGGCACGAAACTCACTTGAGCAGTGCTAGTGTTCATTACAGGTGACTTGACCCACAACCGCGCGTGGTCATTTTTTTCATTATTTTACACGATTCTTAAAAAAAACACATAACGGACGTTACGAGCGACGACGGTTGCATAGGAAGGGGGGGTGGGGGGGCGAAGCGACGGACATCTCCACGGCCGGGGAGTGGGACGCACCCCAGCCTACAAGGTGCGGCCAAAGGTCAGAGGTGAGCGTGCGAGAAGGTTCGTGCGTTGGACGATGAAGAAAGGGGAAGGGGAGGGGACGGGGAGGGGTTGCGAGAGACAGCCAGGAGGAATGAGGGAGAGAGCGACGAGAAGGGGGAGCAAGAGAGCCAAGTAGCTCGCTCACTCCTCCTCCGGTCTAACTACAGATTCTGAAGTAACAAGGGAGAGGATGAGTTCAACACGGGGAGGCGGGGGGGGGGGTGCGAGGGGAGGGGTGGAGAGAGTGAGGAGGGTGGAGCGGTCGGCGAGAGGGCCGGCGGTCCCAGGGGCCCCGCCGCCTCGCCGAGTCCGAGCGCTCACTTCCCTTCGTACTTGGGGTTCACCACGGTGGTCACGGCGCTCCTGTAGATCGGATTCTCTCCCTGGTAGTTTTGAGGGGGCGGGGGGTGGTAGGGGAGGAGGGTGGAGGTGGTGGCAGCACAAACAAGGAGGGGGCATTCGTGTTTAGTTTTAAACTTTGCGGGGATGCTGACCGTGGCGAGGCGACAAGTGGCGAGTTTCCTCCGTGTCCCCCCCGCCACCCCTCCCATGCCTCGGTCCACCCAGCGGTAGACAGTGGATTGGCAAGTCGTGTGCGGTGGGGTAAAGTGTGGGTCACTCCCCACCTCTTCCAGTGATGGAAGAGTAGACCCCACGTGGCCTCTAGAGGGGGCCTCTCGCTTGAGCCATCTCTCGTGAAGGCACCTTATGCCAGCGGTGGCGTGGTACAGCAATTGCAGGGCTGCGCCTTTACCCTCTTTTAAACGTACACGTTAACGAGCGCACACAAGGCGGCATTACGATCAACTGGGTGGCACGGCTGCGATAATCGTGACACGTAAGTCCCATCATGCCCCGCGTGATGTCTATTTTTATTTTACCAGGCGAGGCCCACTGAGCTATATCGCTCTTTTTTTTTAACAAGCGACCTGGCCACAAATGACAGCTCAACGAAGTGGCTTAGCACGTGGACATTTATAGCAGCCAAATAATCTGAACGCGTGGTGATGTTGATTCTAAATGTGGAGCGAAAAACGGAGGACCCGGAGAAAAATCCACGCGACTACAGGGAGAACCTTCAAACTCCAAATATTACAACAGGCGTTAGCGTCAGGATCGAACCCATGACCCCCTGCATACCAGGCGAGGGAGATAACATCTTGCCACCGTGGCAGCGAGACATCACCAAGCTGCGCGCGTAACAAACGCAATAACTTTCAAGAATTAACCGATGCGTTTTACAACTTTTTACGTTCAGTGAAATAATAATAGGTTACCTTTCACCGTGAACGTATTTAAAACATTTAATGATGTAAGCGAAGGTTACGCACACGTCTCATCAAAGCGGCATCAAGCGTCGCCACTCTTTGTTGTTGGGGACAAAGCACAGAAAGTGACATCAAGGATGTGACGATGTTTTTGGTCACAATCCAATATAGAAAACAGTGTCCGGATCGTCTCATTCCGTAGTATCCATGCCCCATCGTAGGTGGGGCATAGATACTGAGCACAGGCTCGAATTTGCGAAACGCCGAGTGGCCAGCAACAGACATCACTATCTAAGTTGTTAATAGGTTAGAGTGTAATGCGTTTCTTGGGGGGAAAGAGACGGTGATGATGATGATGGGAAGAGGGAATTCCAGGGTGCAGCGGTGCGAGGGAAGATGCGGAAAGAGAAGTGAGGTGACCTGCAGTGTGGTGAGTGGGTGGGTGAGTGGGTGGGTGGATGGATGGATGAGTGTGTTGTAGTGACATGCAGTGTCGATGGTTGAGTTAGTGGGTGAAAGGGTGAGTGGTTCAGTGTATGTATGTTTAACTTCTTTTGCACCATACATAGCCAACCGTGCTAATCAGAGGTGTCGGGGGGAAGGACAACAAACTAAACACAAAAAGCAGTTGTAAAGAAATTAGTTTTCACTCTAGATGATGTTTTAAAAGTGCTTAGCTCCCAGTGGCTTGCGAATATTGGAAGGAACAGCGTTCCACATGGCCGCAGAAGCGCATCTGAAAGCGCTCGACACTGTGCAAAGTAATTCCCTGCAGAAGACACGAAACGCCCGCAATCCCCCGGGGGGCCGTGACGGTGACGCGCTGGGAGAGGTGCCAGCCAGGCCAGCCGGACGCTCGTCTCACCGAGTCCCACTTGGCGTTGGCCTTCTCCTTCTCGAACTTGGCGAACTCCCGCCGGTCGTGGATCGTCATGAGCAGCTTCCAGATCAGCAGCAGCGCGAGGCCGATGAGCACGATGCCCGCCACCACGCCCGCGATGATCGCCAAGATGTTCGGCTCCGTGGGGCACTCTGCCCACGCACGCACGCAGGCAGGCAGGCACGCGGACACAGAAACGCACGCAGGCACCCAGGGAGGGGGGAGGCACCGCACCTGTTAGCCCGCATCGCCTGTCGACGCGCGTGTCATTAGCGAGCGTCAACACGGGGGCCCCGGTGACGAGCGAGTGTTCCTGTTCCTTCACTCGGCTCCATCACCCCGAGTGTTGCTCCCGAGTGACGGACATGGGTTCATCACCCGGGCCTAACCCTAGCATAGCCCTAACATAGCCCTAGCACAGTCCCAGCACAGCCCCCGCATGGTCCCAACATAACCCTGGAATAAGCCCAAACATAGCTCCAGCATAGCCACAGCATAGCTCTTACATAGCCCAACCATGGCCTGAGCATAGCCCAACCATAGTCCCAGTATTGCCCCAACATAGCCCGAGCATAGCCACAGCGTAGCCCTCGCCTCACCCTAGCATCACCTCAGCATGGCCCGAACAAAGCCCCAGCATTGTCCAAGCATAGCTCTAACATAGCCCTAGGATGGCCCTAGAAAATTCCCAGCATAGCCCAAGCATAACCGTGGCTGAGCCCAAGCATAGAACACAGTCCTAAACACGCTAATCCTAGCATAACCATGAATAGGGTATCCACACCCTTCCTCCAGACCCCTGATTATGAACACAGACCCCTAGCCAAATGCTAAATGTAGGTGCATAATGAAAGACACCAGTCTCTGACAAAACCCTTAACAATGGTCCTTAATATAACACTCAACACGAGTTCCCAAATGTGAACCAGAATGACCCATCCCAAATGCAACCCTGAACCCCAAGTGTTCACACAGCTACCAAAACCTGCCCTTGAACACCGATCCCAAACACAAACCACGAACCCCTCCACTAAAACTAAACTAACAGTGATTTATTATTTTATTTACCAGGTAAGGCCCACCGAGCCATGAAGCTCTTCTTCAGAAGCAAGCTGGCCACAAGCGGCTTATCACGTGAAAATGTACAAAAGCCAAATACAGTAATCTAAAACACGTTTCTAAATGTGGAGGGAAAACCCGGAGGACCCGCAGAAAAATCCACGCGACCATGTGGAGAGAGGAACACGCACAAACTCCAAATAGACAGAAGGCGTCAGGGTTGGGATTGAACCCACGACCTCCTGCGTACCAGGCGAGGGAGATAACATCTCGCCACTGCAGTGCCCCAGCCACCAACACACTCTTACCTGACTAGGACTGGCGCAGCCCACGCCGGGGCTACGTGCCCACACCTCCCTCTAGTGGAGGCTCTTCAAATAGAAGCGGCATCAGCAAGACATTGATGGCACGGCTGCAAATGTTTCTTTGAAAGTGAAGAGATACAACGGGAGGAGGCACATCGATGTCCAGGTGCCCCTCCCTTGCCGCTCGTCAATGGCGTTAAAATATTCGGACCACCTGGTAATAGCCGCTCACTTTGAGTTGGGAGACTGCTGCTTCTGCTGAACCTGGAGCGGGTAACTGCAGGGCTGCATCGCGTACAGACGCAATGCGAGGCTCGCCGACGCCTAGCGTGCCGTCAGGGGACGGCTCCCGAATAGTCCCAACGATCTGCATTGCTGCGATTTCATGGCTGCGCCTTTTACCTCTGCCCCAAAAAACAACAGCACCACCAACCCACATCACACCACGCCCCCCGTGCTCCCCCCCCCCCAGCACCGCACCTCTCTTCTCCTGCACCTCGACGAGCGGACTCCCGAGCTTGTCGAGCGTGAACGTGAAGAAGAACCAGCAGTCGTCTTCGTCCTTCGCCTTGCAGTGCATGAGCGAGTCCAGCTCCCCCGGCTGCTTCAGCTGAGCCATGGACACCACGTTGAGGGTGCGGCACCGCTCTTCGCAGACCGCCGCCTTCGGCCCCTTCTTGAACACCTTGCACTGCACGCAGTCCCTAGGGACGGGCGGCAACACGGACGGTGGACGGCGGAGGTCACGGACGGCCGGGGAGAGGGAGGGGGCGGCCGGCTCCGCGCCCGGCCGCCTTTGTCTCCCCAGCGACGATGTATACGCAGAAGGTACTCGTTTGAGGCCGAATCGACCTAGGGGAGGCCCCGGGACCGGTTGCAGATCATCGTCGCCGGTGTTGGCCGTGAGCGATAATCGAACTCGGGCTCCTGGGCTTGCAGCTGCAGCGCGCTGGCCGCTGCGCTGGCCGCTCACACCAATATACCAACGCCCGCCATTCGCGGTGATTGTCACCGCAGCGCCTGTGCCAGGCCAGGTGCACGTTGAGGCCCACGTGAAGTGTCGCAAGGCTCGCTGCGGGCAGGAGGTCACGGGACAGACCCGTGTGCTAAGGGTTGACCGGCCGAGGCGACCGGCTGACGCACACCGACTGCGTCAACTCGCACGCGCAACGCCGGCGCGCGCCGCACCGCTGCGCCACCCTCACCGCGCCACCGCGTGCGTGCGTGCGCCGCCACTCACTTGTGCTCGTCGCAGGCGCCCGGGCAGGTGGGGCACACCTCGCAGGTGGCGCCCTGGTACTTGCTGTCGTTGCACTTGCAATCCCCGCACACGCACTGCCCGCGCCCGTTGCACTCCTGCCCGTTGCTCGCCTGGCACGCCTTCTTGCTGGTCGGGCAGTCGCACGCGTTGCCCGTGAAGTTGCTCTCACACACGCACTTGCCGCACTCGCACTTGCCGTGGCCTGGGGCGGGGACGGGGCCGCGATGTGGTGGTGGTGGGGGGGGCCCCGAGAGGTAAATGAGTAAATTAACTTGGAATCGCCGAGTTTAAGATAACTTCTATCGCTTGACAAAATGTCTCAAGAGTGCCCCCCTATTGGCAGCTGCTACCTTCCTCGCTCTCTCCCTCGGTCTCTCCTCGTGCTCCCTGCCTCCCCACGTGGCGCCACCGCAGAAGAAGTTTCCACTCGTAGCCACTCTCGCCCGCCCACCCACCCGCCCACTCAACCAACAAACCACCCACCCGCTCAGCCACCCACCCTCCACACTCAACCACCCACCCACCATCTACTCAACACCCACCTCCCCACTCGACCACCCACCCACCAGCCAGCCCGCCCACCCACCCGCCCACTCAACCAACAAACCACCCACCCGCTCAGCCACCCACCCTCCACACTCAACCACCCACCCACCATCTACTCAACACCCACCTCCCCACTCGACCACCCACCCAAGCACCCAACTCAGCTCTGCCGCTCAGCAACACCTGTCTATCTGTCTGTCTGCCTGCCTGCCTGTCTGCCTCTGGGGCCGCACCTCCGCACATGACGCCGCTGGAGCGGTCGCAGGAGAAGTTGTCACACTCGCACAGCGGGCCGGACACCAGCTCGTTGGCGTTGTCGCGCTTGTTGCACACGCACTCGCCGCACACGCAGTCGCCACGCCCGCTGCACACCACCGCTGACGAGTTGTCGCGCTTGCACGACGCCCAGATGTCCTCCGAGTTCACCTCGTCCGTGCTGCACTCGCACAGACGCCCGATGCGGCCCTCGTTGCACCTGGGGGAGGTGAGGGAGGTGAGGGAGGTGAGGGAGGTGAGGGAGGAGAGGGAGGGAGGAGAGGGAGGTGAGGGAGGAGAGGGAGGAGAGGGAGGTGAGGGAGGTGAGGGAGGTGAGGGAGGGAGGTGAGAGGGAGGGAGGGAGGTAGGTGAGGGAGGTGAGGGAGGGAGGAGAGGGAGGAGAGAGAGGAGAGGGAGCGAGGGAGCGAGACGGTGGGGAGGATTAGCACGGTTCGCTACGTACGGTGTGAAAGAACTTGCTTCATCTGGCTATCGCCTGATGAAGCAAGTTGTAGTTACTGGTGAAATGTCGTACTCAGAATGTAAATGTTGTGGCTTGGCTCTCCAACACACAACCGAGTAACGAATTGTCACGTTCTGTTTACGTGACAAACCTTCACTAGTTGGCTGTGTCGGCGACACATTTACATATTTACACGATCTAACCCAAAAAATAAAACCCGTATTATGGTGTGAAAGATGTTCAACAAACACAAGAGGGTGATGACGACGATGTAACAGCACAGGGGTCGGCAACTAAAAAGAACAAGAAGGGAATTTTTTTTCGAATTCGGTAAAAAAATTATCAATATTTCAAGAGCCACAATGCACTGTGGTGGTGAACACGACATGGTGGTCGTCACTAACTGACGTCATGAAGCAGCAGTCCTTAAAGAGCCGCCGGAGACGCAGGTTGCAATAGATGATCGAGGTGATACCGCTGATGCTGTTAACGATGACCATGATGATGATGATGGCGATGACTTCAAAAATGTCCTTGATTACCCTCCCTTCAAAATCACAATTTCCTGTTAAAGCTGTCGATTCTTTATGATAACTTCAATCGCGATCTCATGTGACATCGTATATTCTTGTCTCGTTGACACACGGCTACAACAGTCACCCCCCCCCCCACCTCTTCATGTGTGACGTTCCTGTACCTTGGTTTGTCATTGTACCATGGATCAACTTTTAAAATAATCTGCGTGCACACTCCCTCCCCCCCACCTTTCCCTCCACCCCGCCACCCCCGTCCACCACCACCCCCCCCCCACCTCCCCACCCCCCCCCACCTCCCCGCCCACCCACCCCCCACCACCTTACCTGCAGGCGCCACACTCCAGCGTGCCGTTGCCGTGGTTGCAGTCTGCGCTGTTGGCGATGCCGGTCGAGTGGCACTCGCACTCGCACACGAAGCGCAGCGACACCAGCACCTTCTCGTTGAAGCCAAGCGAGCGCAGCTGGATCTGCGTCTCCTTCCCGTCGTTAGGGCAGCCCGTGGCCGCCACCTCGATGCTGAACGTCACCTGGGGAGGTGGGGGGGGGGGAGGGCGGTCGTGGTGGTAGATACGTGTGTACGTTGAACTTCTTTCGCACCCTACGTAGGCAACCGAGCTAATTTCTAGACTCATTTCTTTCAACGTGACTTTACCGAAAGAACCAAGAATATGAATCACTGCAGTCACGAAAGCTTTAAATCAAAATTTAACTGGTTTTTTTTTTTGTGTTTTGTTTGTTGTTGTTTAGTTTGTTGCCCTTCCCCGCAGATATGTCGAGGAATCAAATCACAAGTGCATTTGGTACTGACCCAATCTTCAGAGCAGTGCAAGGGAGGGGCTGTGGTGAACCCAGAGACACGGTGTGCAGTAGTTTCACAGTAGGGGGCGATGCTGCTGCGCGTTTACATTTCGCCATTTGGCAAATTCAGACCGTGACGCCGTAACGTCGCGTGGCCTTTAACGGCCACTGTGAAACATACAGCACGTAGTAGCAGGAGTAGCTTATGGTCAATACGTGCCGCAGTGTTAACCAGGGCGGCCGCTGGGCTTGAACCGCCGACCAGCGCAAACCTCCGCCAACGAGGAGACGGCGGCGGTGGTGGCGGCGGTGGCTGTGATGGTGATGATGGTGGCGGTGTTGGCGGTGGTGGGGGAACCCACTCACCTCGTCACCGATCTGGATGTTGGAGCACTTGTTTCCGTCGTCCCCCGTCTGCACGCTGCCGTCTTTGCAGTGGCTGGTGTAGCTCACGGCGACGCCGCCGGGCGGCTTCGTGTGCTCCAGAATCACCTCCGAGGAGAGCGCCTGCACAAAGACAAAGGACCACACCCATCCCCCCCCCCAGATAGCCTTCAACAGACTGTTGGGGCGAGTGCTGTTGGGCGAACAGCACCTGTGAAGGCCGGCAAGGCGCACGACGGGGGTGGGTGGCCACCACCGCGCCTGGCCGCCTTTGTCTCCCCAGTGCTGATGTTCTATGCACACCGCACCAGGTACTCATTTAAGGCCAAGTCGACCGAGCGAAAGCTCAGGACCGGCTCAGAGTTTTATCACCGATGCCGATGGCCATGCGCGGGAATCGAAGCCGGGCCACCAGGTTCGTAGCGCAGCCCGATAACCGCCGCCCCGCCGCTCCACCTTGCGTTGCACAGTTCACCTCGCCACGCTTTACCTTGTAGGCCTCGATGATGAGCTGGATGATGTTGGATGACGTGTTGGAGAGCTCCCCCACAGCCGACTTTGGGATGAGGTTGCTCAGCTCCTGAGTGCACAATGGTAACGAGGCGAGAATGAGCCGTAACAACAACGACAGGGATGCGCTTTTTACCAAATGTAATTCCCATCAGGTCCCATGGCGTAAACAGGTGCAGTCTCCCAACTCTCATCGCTCGACCGGCCTTTATCTGTGTGCTCTAAAGTAGGGCCATTGCCCGAAACGTCACCGATTGTATATTTGACATTTGCTCAGGCCGCACAATGTTGTTATGGACCAGCGTGTTGAGTGTTGTTGCTAATTGTGACCGTCAAAGCAGCAGCAGCAGCAGCAGCGTGACCATATTGTTGTAAATTTCGTGGGTTGCTGTCGACAAGGCTATGATATAATCTCCATGCCACGTCTTCTTCCAAAGATGTTGGCGATCGTGGCCTTTCTTCCACTTTGCTCCACCCATGATATCTACTCAAGGACTCTGCAATGGGCACTGCTTCCAGTTGCTTCCAATTGGTCAAATTACTTCTGTAACTTATTTCTCTGTCTCCCCGGCTTCTTGTGGTACCTGCAATGTCCCCCGCAGTCTACACCACATTCACATTCAGTCTCTTGTTTTTTATGAGTGCATGTCCAATAAATCTAACTTTGCTTTGCTCTAATTATTCTCATTCATGTTCTTGTTGAATAAACTGCTGCTATTTATATGCTTATGTTTTTTTTATTTATCTGTCCATTACATGTTTTACATCTATAAAGCCCACATATTTGTTGCTTCTAGTTTGCTATACAGGCCTTGTAATTGTCCAGCTTTCACACAGGCTCATAGAAAGACAGACCCCATAGACTCACATATAGAGAACCACTCACATAGAGAACCAGACTCACATAAAGATCCATAGACTCACATAGAGGCCCAAAGACTCACATAGAGACCTCCAGACTCACATAGAGACCCATAGAATGACTTAGAGGCCCATATCCATACATAGACCCACAGACTCACAGCTTTCAAATCCACAAACGAGAAGAGACCGGCCGATGTAACACTGCAATTCTGGCTGTCATCTATAATTCCTTATTTTGCAATACAGATCCCATTGTCTGAAATGCAACTTTTGCCAGTGTTGTTCTTCTGTTTGCCTCTGTGACACCTTCATCCCTCGACTGTCATCACACGACCTCAATACTTCAAACGCTCCACCTGCTTATTGTCACTTGTACTTGGCGTCCAGGTAAGATTAAGACTCTGACCCAAAATAAACAACGACGCCTCGGCCGACCAGTGGCCGAGAGGTACCTGGTAGACGCTGTAGAAGTCTTTGGTGACTGCGAAGATGGGCTGGATGTTGTTCTCGCTGAGCTTCTGGATGAGGTGCGCCACCGACGGGTAGTCCTGCAGGCCCCACGCGCCGCCCGCACCGAGAGGGCAGACATTTTGGCGTTATTTGGGTCGCTCATTTTACGCTTGCTTAGCCAAGAAGAGCCTCGCAGAGGACTCGATGGGACGCGGGTACGCATTTAAGGCTGAGTCGACCATGGGGAGGCCCCAGGACCCGGTCAGGCACGGCATACGAGGGGGTGGGTTGCCAGCACCACGCCCGGCCGCCTTTGTCTCCCCAGTGGCGATGTTTACACACCGCACCAGGTACTCATTTGAGGCCGAGTCGACCTAGGGGAGGTCCAGGACCGGTTCAGATAATCGTCACCGGTGTTGGCCGTGAGCGGGAATCGAACCCGGGTTCATAGCACGGCGCAGCGCTAACCGCTGCACGATCGCTCTCCACACACACACAGACACACCCACACACACACGGTGGGGGCGGGTGACGGGGGGGGGGGTGACACACGCACGTAGTAGTTGCTCTTGGTGTAGTAGACGCCCTGCGGGTCCAGGTGGCAGTTCCCGTCGTTGGGCAGAACGATGCCCCCCAGCTTCCCGTCGCCCGCAAAGTGGAAGCCGGCGTCCGTGGAGAAGACGAGCAGCCGGGTCACGTTCCGCCACTTGATCTCGTTCTGGAAGGAGCCAGCACAAGCGTTAGACGCAGCAGCGTACAACTGCGCACGCACGCACGCACACACAGACACTAAACGCCAACAACAATTACATGCACAAACAACAGCCGCCAACAAGGGACGATGACGTCACCGCTTTGTGCCAGGCGAGGTGCACTTTGAGGACACGTGAAGTGTCCAGTGTTAGTGTGTTATGGGTTCAATGACAGACACCACCCCCGCATCGTCTACCATTATTCACCATCACCACCACCTCCATCACTATCACCACCATCACTATCACCACCATCACTCCCTCCATCACTATCACCACCACCACTACCTCCATCACTATCACCACCAGCTCCACCACCAACCATGCCACACCACCACAATACAAACACAAAGATCCCAGTATAGCCTTTAACAGACTGTAGGGGCAAGTACTTTTAGCGAGTAGCACCTATGAAGGCCGGCATAGCCCACAAGGGGGTGGGTGGCCAACACCAAGCCCGGGCCGCCTTTGTCTCCCTCATGGCAATGTTTACACACCGCACCAGGTACTAATTTGAGGCTGAGTCGACCTAGGGGAGGCCCAGGACAGGTTCAGATAATTGTCACTGGTGTTGGCCATAAGCGGGAATCGAACTCGGGTCACTGGGTTCGTAGCGCAGTGCGCTAACCTCTACACTTCTGCTTCCTACACGTCGTCACCACCACCCACATCACCACCACCACCACCACCACCCACGTCACCACCACCACCCACGTCACCACCACCACCACCCACGTCACCACCACCACCACCACCCACGTCACCACCACCACCACCCACGTCACCACCACCACCCACGTCACCACCACCACCCACATCACCACCACCACCACCCACGTCACCACCACCACCACCACCCACATCGCCGCCGACGCCGCAACTCACCACGCAGACGGCGGCCTGCATCATGGCGTCGAAGCCGCCCTCGGGCGAGTCGAGGTTGCCCGAGATCTTCTGCTGGCTCACGAGCTCGTTGAACTGGCTGCCGTTGTTGGTGAGCGGCAGCACGTTGCGGTAGCTGAACGGTTCGGTGCACACCTCGTCGGGGCCCGTGCTGCACGGCTTGCGCATCTTCTTGGGCGTCGTGCTGATGTACGGCATCACCGTCTTGTCCACGAACGAGCCGAAGCCTGCCGGGGGGGGTGGGGTGGGGGCAACACGTGGACCGACGCCGCCACGTCCACGTTGAGCGCTTTTTTTTGCTTCGACGACGACGGCGACAACGACGACGACGAAGACGGACGACGTTCACGACATCGTTCGTTCGCGAGCGAGGACGCGCAGCCTTCGCTCGCTCTCCGATAGGCGAGAGGGAGAGAGAGAGACTCGAGGAGGCGCGGGGAACGAGCGCGGGCAAGCAAGCCAGGCGCCAACGCTTGATCACCAGTCACCGGCACACAATAAATGCCAGCATTGTTGTTACAATTTCACGAATTAACCTTCATCATCGGGACGACGGGCAGGGGAGAGGGGGAAGGAGGGAGGGGGGAAAGACGGATGCGAGAGGAGGAGGGGCGCGCGAGGCTCACCGATGCGGAACTCGCTCGTGATCTCCTTCATGCGCTGCTGCAGTTCCGTGCCCAGCTTCTTGACGTTCTCCAGGTCGTCGTTCATGGAGTAGGAGAGGTCCATCAGGTAGTAGAGGTCCACCGGGTAGTCGGCCGCCCTCTTGAACGTCAGGTTGAATTTCTGCGGCTGGCCTGCGGCCGTCCAACGGGTTGGGAGAGAGATGCAAACGATGACGAAGCGGGAAGACACGCTCGCCACGCTCCCGCCAAGCGTCTCAAGACCGCGTGGTTCTAAAGCTTTTGACTCTTTTGAAATGGTGCCCCATATCCCCCCCCCCCCAATTATAACCACTGGTCCATGCCCCTAGTGAATACGGTGATCGTAAGGCACGTGTCTTCATAGTCTTGCACTCGTGCGTTCGGAAATGTTGTGTATTGGTGCGTTTGAGAGGGTGGGTTACTCCCCACCCACTCGAATGCGCCTGCCCAGCGTGGAAGAGCAGGCAGAAATACACGCCCCAGAGAGGTGGTGCTCTAGTCGAGCAGCTCCGTCTTGCGGAGGCTTCTTCAGCCAACAGTGGAGCTAGCGAGATATTGTAGGGCTGCACCTTTCCCTCTGTTGTTGTTGTTTAACCTCCGCTACTTTGAGTGGACGAGCAAACAAACACGGCACGACGAATGCGGTGGGGGGGGGAGGCAGGAAGCCCGCGTCGGTACAGGCGACGACGCTTCCTCGCCGACAGGAAATGTACACGGGCGTGCCCCCCACGGTGACACCACCCACGGTGACACTTAACAGAAGCGTCGTTCGACAGAGCTTGCAACACTGTGTGCGTGTGTGAGATCAGCGAGTATTCGTGATGGACTGGACCCAATACACAAGTCGAGGTAACGGCGTGTTCTGCACAGTCGCGTGCGGTTGGGGCGCTGGGCAAACGTGGAGTGAGCGGCGCGACGCGGCGAGGAGGTGACGACGGTACTGATCATCGCCGCCGTCGTCTGGAGAGAGAGAGAGAGAGGCGTGCAGCCAAGCCGCAAGCAGGCCGCAGTCTGCTGGCCAGCTTATCTCTCATCTCAGCCTTAGTCGAGAGGTCAGAGTAAACATCGTTTGAGAGTCAACATTGTTAAAAGTTGATGGAAGTGACCAGAGGAGAGGCGCAGGATAGAAAAACGCGTGGATAGAGAACATCTCATGGCTCTTTGGCCTGGAGGAAGATTCGAAACAATTTGGATTTGTTTGATCATTGTTTACGGAGTCTAAATTGGATCGCACGTTCGGACACCACCACAGTAACGTGGAATTTCCAGCACTGGCTTAAGGACCGAGGGAGATACTCTCTGGCTTGAGGGTGGAGGACGACACCTTTTTGGTATCATAGTTCCAGCACTAGCCGGAGTCCTTTCAACACAAGATAAACGTATCACGTCAAGCGGCAGGGCGCGGAGTTTCCGCCAAATGCTATGAAGCAACGACAGATTCCGATCTGGCTGGAAAGGCAAGTGCCTGCCTGTGAGCTCGAGTGTGTGTGTGGTTTGCGTGTGTGTGTGTGTCTGGTTTGTGTGTGTGAATAAATGGGTGTGTGTGTGGTGCTGGTATGTATGTGTGGGCGTGCCTTTGTGTGTGTCTTTGTCTTAGCGCAGTACTGCGTGGTTAGCGCACTGCGCTACGAATTCCGCTAACCGAGTTTGATTCCCGCTTATGGCCGACATCGGTGACAATTATCTGAACCGATCCTGGGCCTCCCCTAGGTCGACAAAGCCTCAAACGAGTACCTGGTGCGGTGCGTGACCATCATTGGGGAGGCAAAGGCAGCGGAGCCTGGTGCTGGCCACCCACCACCTTGTATATCGTGCCAGTCTTTATTAGGTGCTCGCTAACAGCATGAGCCCCAACTGGCTGTTAAGGTTTTAAGGGGGGGGGGGTCTGTCTTTGTATGTGAATCAATGTGGTTTTGTAATACCACATATACAGTATGCGTGGCTTTATCTTCATATGCATCTGTGCGCTTGCATTTGTGTATGTAAATGCCGGTGTGTGCGTGTACGTGCGTGTGTCTCATACATTTCGTTGCATGTCTGCGCACGTGTATGCATTTTTATATGCAATTGCGCAAGTGCTCCTGATGTGTGTGTGCGCATGAGTCTGTGTGCGTGGTTGTTGTATGATACACGTGTGTACATTTGTTTGTATTTGTGAGAGTGTGCATGGGTGTTGGTATATGTGCATGTGCACCTATCATGGCACAAGCGCCATGCTGACTTAGTGGTGGACAGCGGTGATGTTGTGTCATGTGCATGTGTTGTATGGAGAGCTGTGGCGCAGTGGTTAACGCACCAGGCTACAAACGCAGCGACTCGAGTTTTGATTTTCCCGCTCACAACCAATAGGATTGACAGCGAATATCTGAACCTGTACATAGCCAGCCCTAGATCAATTCCGCCTTAAATGAGTATCCGGCACGATGCGTATAACACATCAGCAATGGGGAGACAAAGGTGGTCAGGCGTGGTGCTCCCCCTTCCATGCATAAAATACTCGCACCCAAGCACTTGCTCCAACAGCCTGTTGAAGGCTATATGGAAGATCTTTGTCTTTGCATCGGCACGTGTGTGTACGCGCGTACACAAACTCTGTCGTTGGGGACCTGTTTGTCTTGTCGAATCGCATTCATCCGCGAGGTTAGAAACAAGACACAAATCCGTTAAGCAACTGCACCTCGCAAGGGGATCTACGGTACGACGTCAATTTCTCCAAGCAAAGAAGACTTCGACGGCTCTGCCCCGCCTCCACGCACGTGGAAACGTGCCCGTCGGGAGCGCCGCGGCACCCGGCATTTCCTTTACGCATCGTCACCAACGTTGGCACCGTCACCGCGGACGCCCGCGATTCTGCCTAGTCGCCGGAAGGCGGCCGCGCGCCGCTCCCTGTCGACGAACGACCTCGCCAGCTCGCCCCTCTCGCCCGCTCGGACGCGACAAAGATCTCCCCCGACCACCGCATAAGCCCGGCACCTGCTCGGAGCGTGAGCCGGACGTGCTGCGGCGCCAGCTGGGTGATGTTCTCTGGCGGCAGCTTCGTGCCCTGGTCGCTGACGGGCGTGTTGCGCAGCACGCGCACCTCGCCCCTGGGGCTCTCCACGTGCCGCTCGTCGCACCTTCGCTCCTTCAGGTTCTCCGCGTAATCGCAGCGCGCCGAGTTCGACTCCCCGACGCCGGTGAAGTTCTGCGGGCAAGCGAGCGGGCAGGGACAGACGGGACACGGAGACGGGACACGGAGACGGGACACGGAGACGGGACACGGAGACGATCAGCTGGGGCGACGCGGCGGCGGCGCCGCCAGTGGCGTCGCCCCCCGTACCCCCTAACCCCTGCTCACCTTTCACCGTCGGTTCCGGGAATTAAATGGGGCTCAGTTTCCACCACCAGCCACCCGCTCTAACCCCCACAACGTCGCCTGCCCTCTTTGTAGACCCCTCTCTCTTTGTGGTAGGTCAAAGCCCAGGTCGCCACCAACCCAAGCCTTGGGGCCAATTGCAATTGTAGCATTGGTCAATGAATTGCAGTCGCAGTGTAAATGAAATTGATCTCATTCACCAGATTGATTCACTCATGTTCGAAAGTAAAATTTTGGCTAGGAAAAAAAACCACGCTTAAATCTGCCCCATCTCTGTGCATCTCGGCAGCTAAGAAAGAATTGAGTCCAGTTCGCACTTTCATGGGCAAACACCAGGACCCGCAGAGCTTGCCAGGTGCCGTAGGCGTGGGCTGCAAGGAGAAGGCAGCATTGACAATGCTTCTATGCTGGCACGGGAAAGTCAAAAGATGTTTGGAATATTGAGGGTCAAGCCCGCAGTGCCCGTGGTCAGCCCCACCCAATCGCAGAGGCCAACGCTCAACGACACGCACCAACGTGTCAGCGGCCTGCATGGTGTGCTGCCTCGTACCGGCCCCGATGTGTGAGCAGAGTTACCAATGTGTGAGCAGAGTTACCAATGTGTGAGCAGAGTTACCAATGTGCGGCCGGGCGGTGGTGGCAATGCACGGGGTCTGTGGCCCAGCACTGTGGAGGCAGCGAGGGTTGGTGGACGACCGCACAAATATCGCTAAAACTCCCTTCCTGTGGGGGTCCAGGTCGATCCATACTCTGGCTCGCCAGGGGAAGGCGGTACACACAGCAATCTGAGGACTAATGTAATTCGTCTTATCGATGCGGCGATCGGAGATACAGCGTTGCCCCCCACCAACCCCCACCACCCTCGCATGCAAGGGTTTTCTCCGGTTGCTTCGCTTTCCTCCCACGCGGGATGAACGCCCATCGCTAGTTGACTGAAAACATCGTTTTGTTTGTGCGCCTCCGTGCGCTGCGGACTCCGCAGTGTGGCGCCAGATGCAGCCTGCGTAAACGAGGCGGCCACAGAAAACATGTCGTCGCTGCTGGACTTGTCAGGTTAAGTTATTCGCATTCGGCCCCGCGGCCCCGCGGCCCTGCGGCCCTACGGCCCTGAGGCCCCGCGGCCCAGCAGGCCCCGTGTCAAGCGTCGCGCTACTCACGGACATGGTGCACCAGGCGCAGCGGCTGCCGACCTGGATGCACTCCCCGCACGACTTGGCGTTACGCGACAAACACTCGTTGTGGGATTCTGCACACACGGAGTTGCGGGGGGACAGGGGTTTTGGGGCCGGATGAGGGGGGCGGTAGAGAGGGGTTGGGGGGGGGGAGAGGAGAGATTGTGGGGGTAGTGGGAAAAGGGCATGGTTAGCAGAGCCAGACAGGTAAAGGAGCGTCTCTGTGTGCGTGTCTCCCGTCTCTCCTCTCGCCGTCTTCAAGATCCCTCATAGCGGCACTCGATTGTACGTGTTCAACTTCCTTCTCACCGTACGTAGCCAACCGTGCTAATCGGAGGTGCGGGGGAAGGACAACAAACTAAACACAGAAAGCTGTTCTGAAGAAATGGCTTTTCAATCTAGATGATTTAAAAGTGGGTTCCTAATATCAGAAGGAAGAGCGTTCCAGACGGCCGCAGAAGCACATATGAAATTGCGCGATGCAGTGACCACCGTCTTTGTGTGTGTGCAGTCATTGGTGACCGGACCATCAACTCGGCGCACTTGGGAACCCGGCCTCTGCGGAACAAGAGCTTTATAGCTCATCAGATTCCTCCGGTATAAGTAAATATTCTGATAAACGCGAGCGTACGAAACCCAAGTTGGTACCCAGGACCTCGGCAGCATCTCCACCAAGGCCATTCTGAATCCCGGCCGTGGCCTCCCCGCCCCCTCACCTTGCTGGGCGAGGGAGAGACTGGCGAGCAGCGTGACAGCCAGCGCCGTCCTCAGCAGCAATCGCACCTCCATCTGCGCCAACAACAACAACACACGCACAGCCCCGACGTCCTGTGAGCCCGGCGAACGCGGCCAGCGAGCGACCGTCAGTGAAGGCGTGGCGGAGGTTGGGAACATCGGGCCCGCGACTTCATACGGCCCTCGGCCACACGAGGCAGCCGACTTCGATATACGTCCCGCAAACCGCAACCATGCATCACTACGAGCAGCACGCATCGGGTGTGAGGAGTGTCTTTCTTGTTTGGTTTTTCACGTGATAAGCCACTTCGTTCACGTGATGAGCCACATTGTTGAGCTATCATTTGTGGCCAGGTGAATTCTGAAAAGGAAGCTAACAGCTCAGTGGGCCTTACCTGGTAAAATACATTTTAAAAAGTGATTTATTTACCTTTCTTATACTTAGCACTGCTATTGTCTTTTTGTATTGTTTGTTGTTGTAACCTTCGGACCCACCCCTACTGGACATCTGTGAAGAAGAGCTCATAGGATTTCTCCAGTATAAATGAAGATTCCCATTCGAGGTGGATATATTTTCGGCCTGGCGACCAGTCACGTATGGCCCACCGAAAGAACACCAATGTCTATTTAGCCCTCAATAATAACAATGTTGCCAACAGGTGATAATTTTTGTCTGAATGCAAGCGCATTTCACAATGCTTTACAAAGGTGAGACATAATATTGGGGTTTTGTGGATTGGGGGGGGGGGGGGGGGGCGGCAGGATGAGTGGGTAGCAGTATGCGGGAGAGAGGAAGGTGGGACATAGGGTCGTAGCAGAGTGCAAACAAACAGCTACGAAGAATAAGATCTCCCCCCCACCCCGTGCAGCCTTTAACACGCTGTTGGGGAAAGGTGCTGTTAGTGAGCACCTATTAAAACCGGCACGGTGCACGAGGCAGTGGTGTGTGGCCAGCACCACGCCTTGGTTCTTTTGTCCCACCCCCCCCCAGTTCTGATGTTTATACACCGCACCGGGTAATCGTTTAAGGCCGAGTCAACCTAGGAGAGGACCCAGGAATTCTTCTGATATCATTCGGCACTGATGTTATCAGACTAAAGTAGCAGGTCTTGGAAGGCAGGGTGCTATCCACTACATCACCACTGGTCCCCACGGATACCTACAACCAAACAAAGACAAAGATGCCCTGGAAAGGATGTAACACTGTTGGGGCAAGTGCTGTTAGCGAGCACCTATGAAGTCCGGCACGGCGCACGAGGGGGTGGGTACCCAGCACCACGCCCGACCGCCTTTGTCTCTCCAGTAGCGATCTTTACACACTGCACCAAGGACTAATTGTAGGCCGAGTTCACACGATTAGCACGGTTGGCTACGTACGGTGGGAAAGAAGTTCAATACACATACACAGGGGGTGCCCAGGACCGGTTCAGATAATCGACACTGGTGTCGACCGCGAGTGGGAGTTGAACCCGGGTAGCCGGGGTTCGTAATGCAACATGCTGACTGCTACACTACCTACAACCACACATGCCACCCCCACAACCTTACCAAACTCACAACATGGGTCAATGTGCATTGCGACCACCCCACTGTGGTCTCTGTTTCCACCCCATGGCTTCTCGTCAACATCGCTCTGGTGACGGACCCAATGGGCACCGTCAACTCGAACGAATCATTTTCTCACCAATGACCCCACTACGACCTCCGCCCGTCAGCCAGGAATCGACTTGCAATGGGCTCTGCCGAACAGCGGTCGCACTTTGGACAAGGGAGACGCCCAAGACATGGGGGACAAAGAGACACGCGGGGACACGGAGGCACAAGAACGCGGGACACCTGAGATACTGAGACACTTGGCACACAGGAAATATGGGAGCTATGCTGAACCGTGGAACGTACTGAACCATTTTTGCACTGGACTAGGAAGACACAGAGGATGAGACACGGAGATACTTGGACACAGAGACACGGGGACACGGAGGCGTGCATACTCTGATGCTAGACAAGGCAGACACGAGAGACCAAAGCTCCATGATATCCGCTTCCGCGAGCCGTTTTCCAACACGAAGGGCTTGCACCACGAACACTCCGTCTCGAGACGCTACGCCGACCGGTATGACGGGCGACAAAAATGGGACAAAATGACAAAATCGCTTGGGAATAAAAAAAACGTGCTGCCTCAGCGGGCGAGCAAGGCAAGCCTTCTCTCACCCCCACGCACCACCGCGGAGCGAGCCTCGCCTACGCCCATGTATGGACATCTCGCCTGCTGCCCGATCGATCAGTGCTGGCTGGGCAGTGACGCCAGCTGACGCGGTCGCGCTGCGGGCTGGGTGAAAAAAAAAAACCTGACGCTTGGCACAGCAGAAGTAGACAGTGGCGTGGTGCGGTTCCAGACGACGGTGAGTCAAGCCCTACCCTGCCTAACCACCCACCCACCAAACCGCCTGCCAGCATTACCAACAGCGAGCACAAAGACCGGGCCAAAAGTTTCAAGCAACACGCAGGAGCGTGTAACAAAAATGAATTTCCGGCCTGCACATTACCCCCCTCCCCACCCCCCTGAATTATTTGGCAATGCATTAGCGGTGGGTGCACAAAGCACAATTAACAACAGGAACAAACACTCAACACATTCGTCAATAACAATACTGGGCATGGCCTTAAAAGGAAAAAAAAAAATAATGAGCGAAGGTTCAGCAAATGGTCCTTCCTTCACCGTTACATATTTAGAAAAATGTCATTGCTATCAGGTTCCATGGTGTAAACAAGTGCAGTCTCCAACTCTTGTGATCCCCTCTTTGTCTCTCTACCAGCCTCTCTATGTGCTATGAAGGGCCATTGCCTGAAACGTCAGCTATAAACGAGTTTTTTTCCCTTCAAGGCCACACGGTATCATTGACAAAAGTATTCCGTTACGATGGGTTTTCCTTTTATTTGACTATGATTACTGAAAACCCAGGCGAGCAGAGTACAACAGACACCCACAAAAACAAAGATCCCCCGTATAGCCTCAAGAGAATGTTCTGGCAAGTGCCGTTAGTGAGCAGCACCTATGAAGGCCGGCACGGCACACGAAGGGGGTGGGTGGCCGGCACCACGCCCGGCCGCCTTTGTCTCCCACACAGACTTGGTGGGGGTCATGGTGATCACTTTCCCCGACGCAACTGCACGGTGCCTAGATCCACCGGATGGATGACAAATGCGTGCTGAAGTCCACAAAAACGACAACATGAGTCGCCAAGCAAAGTGGAAAGCACTAAAACTACACCGAAGCACGTCGTGTGTCTGCGAGTTTACTTAGCACACTCCGCTGATCACAAGAAGTGCAGTATGAATCAACGCAGTCGCATAACTCGCAGCGTCAAACTGTTGCACCGCGCCAAGTGCAGTGTGAGCCACTACACCAGCCCAAACGCAGGGCAAGCCACTGCACTGCACCGAGTGTTAACCTCCACACTGCCCCAGGCACTACAGCTGTGGTGCAGCGGGTAGTTCGCAATGCTGCTGTACAACCCAGACTTCGAGTTGCGCATGCTCAGGACTGCCGATAGTGGTGTAGATTGTATGGTTAGATAGTGCAGCATTGTGTAGTGGCAGATACGGAGGGGGGGTGGGGGCTATGACCTCCGCCCCCCCCCCACCGCTCTTCTCCCCCCCTCCCTTTAGACCACAAATATTGAAAATGTACTGATATTTACCAATCAAAATATATTGAATGTTTTTTTTCATTAATATTAACACGAGCAACCTGCAAGTCCAAAGGCTGTGACCGTCCATCGCTCCCTCCCTCCCTCCAGCCAGCAAAACTTGTTAACATATACAGCAGCGTGATAGGGCCACATTTAAATAGCGTTGAAGTTTCGAGAACCACCAACCTCCGCCCCTCGAAGTGCCTTTGACCAGCTGCCGCCTCTTCCGCAGTCTCCCATTGTAAACCCGCCATGGCACTATCAACTATCTACTGCAGCAGCAGCAGCAGCCACCACCAGGCCCTTGTGCACACGCAACAACACAAAGTGTACCCCGTGTGTTAAGAGATCGAGCGCGCTCCTCACGGCCCCACTCTCTCTCTCTCTCCTGCACAGCAGCAGCAGCAGCAGCCCGTGGCGCTGCTGCTGCTGCTGCGCTTGTCCCCATGCAGGGAGCATGGAGCTGCAGGCGGGAGATGTCGGTGGGAGTTGGAATGCGAGGCATGCAGTGTGGTGGTGGGGGAGGAGAGGATGGGGGCGGGTGTGGTGGTGGGAGGTAGAGAATTAGGGGGCGGGAGAGGTGGAGTGGTGGGGGGCGAGGCGAGGGTCACCTCCCACGCATTACTGCCGGAACAGCGAACCGCTCAACAGGGGTCACGCAGCTGGAAACATCGCGGCTGCTTCAAGCAAGCGGGCGGTGAAGTATGGTCAAACACCCCTAACACCCCCCCCCCCCCGCCCCCATGACCGTCAGCAAGCGTATAAACAACTCCGCTACACAAACCGCAGTGTCGCCACGCTGCACCGACAGAATGGAACTGCGTACAGCCGAGTGTTAACCACGACACTGCAAGTCTCTGCACTGCACCTTACTGAGAATCATGCCAACCCAGTGGAGCGCGCGGATTGCTTTTAACCCAGCAGTGGATTGACAGAAGGGCTTCCACGTGTGCTGTAAGCAGACAAAGATCCCCCGTATGGACTTCACAAACTGTTGGGGCAAGTGCCGTTAGCGAGCACCTATGAAGGAAGGCCGACACGGCACACGAAGTGGGTGGCTGACACTCGGCACTGCCATCAGCTTCCCGCCCCAACGCCTACCTGGCAAGCGCTGGCAGTCACCCATCCAAGCACCAACCAGGCTCAAGCCTGCTTAGCTTCAGAGATCATATGGGATTGGGTGCGTTTTGTAATGATTTGTTCCGATAGGCAACTGCAAAATACACGAGACAAGTTTTAAAAGTTTAGGGTCTAAAACAAATTGATTGTGATCCATATTTGTGTTTTGGTTAGGCCACATAATACTACAGTATGCTCCACGTGCCCCGAGCCCAAAACAAACATTGATCATAGTCTCGGCAACGAAAAACTACCACTAGAAAACCTAAGTTCTTAACTTGACGGTACAACATAATTATAGTAAGAGAAAACCAACGTTGTCTTTTGTTGTGTTTCTCAGAGGCGTGATTGTTTGCACCGATCTACTTTGCAGAGAATAATCAAAGAGGGCACCTTCTAAACCAGATCCCCGGATTAGCGGCAGCAAAATGTCTGGAATTTCAGATCACATTCGCGATGTCCTAGATGGTCACGCTACCACCCCCACGTGTTATAAAACTTTTTTTTTTTAACCAGGTAAGGTCCACCGAGCTATGCAGCTCTTTTTCAGAAGCGACATGGCTATCACAAATGATAGCTCAACGAAGTGGCTCATCGTATCGAGATTTATAGCAGCCAAATACTTTAGAAAAATCCACGGGACCACGGGAAGAGAGACACGCTGACTCCATATATGCAGCAGGTGTCAGGGTCGGGCTCAAACCCACGACCTCCTGTATACCAGGCGAGGGAGTAACCCACGACCTCCTGTATACCAGGCGAGGTAGTAACTCACGACCACCTGTATACCAGGCGAGGTAGTAACCCACGACCTCCTGTATACCAGGCGAGGGAGTAACCCACGACCTCCTGTATACCAGGAGAGGTAGTAACCCACGACCTCCTGTATACCAGGCGAGGTAGTAACCCACGACCTCCTGTATACCAGGCGAGGTAGTTAACATCTCCTAGCCACCGTGCACTAACAAGCCTTCTTCATCTTCTCAAGACAGTTTTCTGTGGCTGTGCCGTGCAGCCGCGCACATTTTTATCGAGGATATAACAAAAAGAAAAATGTTGTTGTTTAAGAATTGCAAAATGCTCCAGGCATTACAATCTTGCACTAATATGCAGGAGCAGCTGTTACGGCGGTTGCTTCACTTTGGGTCGCAAAATTCGAGCAACCAAGTAATGTTTTAAGATTTATTTTCATCGGTTTCGCAGGATTTGACTGCGTCAATTTCCACAGTTGCGCTGCCGCAGCTGCCACGGCGATTCTGCGATGGAGTTTACGGGTCGTGCTGCGCGACATTGTCGTTCGGCACGACGTCCGACGTTTCGCTCCACGTGGCCGTCAGTTTCTTCATAAGCTCGGCGTGTGCGGCGAAACGCTATTTCGCTGATTAACATTTCGCTTCGGACCATCCCTTGCGATGGAAACATCTTGCTAGCTACGCGCACGTAACAAACACAGCACAACACGAAGCTGGCAACGCGCGGCAACGAACCCGAAAACACAGCAGGAGCAGAACCAATGGCAAAATCCTACGCGGGAAAATCCTGGGAAACCGATTTTTAAAAATTCCCCTTGGATGTTCGGCTTACGGGGCCCAAAGTGCAGGGAGCGCGGTACAGCCCGGAAACACACCGAGCAGATATTGGCCTCGGGATGTCTAAAATAAAGTATTTTTCTTTTTGTAACTATCGCTTGGCATGCTAACGCCACCCAACCCCCACATCTAAAAACTAAATTCTTGTCCGATGAGAAGAGGAATGTGAACAAAGCGTGACAACAAAAAAATACTCAAAACATTCGGCAATAACACTGCATGCGGCCTTAAAAATGATATATATAACAGGCAACGTTTCTGGCAATGGCCCTTCTTCAGCACATAAGAGAGGCGAGTAGAGAGACAATTTGGACTATAAAACTTGCTTACGCCATGGGGACTGGCGAGAATGAAATTGTTAAACATTTTAAACTGGCAATGTTTTAATGTTTTAAATTGGCGTGCAAGTAATTACCTAACAATACCGTAGTAGCAACTATGGAGTCAGAGGCATTTCGTTTTTGTTAACATGAAGTAGGCGCGCATTGCATCCGATTCATACATTTTGTAATGAAACCGGCTTCTTACACGGCCACGGGTAGATGACGGTGGTGTAAGGAGCGGACACTACACAACGCCACAAAAAATAAATACAAACTCCACCACACAACGAATTCATCCATAACAGAGTTTTTTTCTCTCGTTTGTGTTAGATCCCGTAAATATGAATGCGTCATTAAACCCGCCACCATCCGACACAGCCAATTAGAAATTGTAAATGTCGTGGGTTTACTATCCAACACGCCGGTGTGCTGAACTAATAACGAATTGGCACGTTTTGTTTACGTGACAAAAACCTTGCTGTGTCTGTCGGACGGTGGCAGGTTTAACGACACAATTATATTTACACAATCTAACTAAAAAACCCAACCTCTGCTACGGATGACACTGGTCGCGACACCACCTACGTGTTCAGCATCGACCGTCGTTTGTCAATTCAATTTGACTTCTCGTTCCTTGCGTTGAAAATATGAAACGTTGAATCATGTGAAAAGTGCCTCGGCTTCCGAATCGAGGCGTCTTCTTCAATTCATTTTTCTCGCGGGGAAAGTCGAAGGGAAAAGCGTTTTTGTTTCTTTGAAATGAAGGTGGGGAATGTTGACGTAAAAAAATACATTTTGAGAAACCCAGCATCACAAGAATACCAAAGCTCTGATTGGTAATAATTTTACAAATATCATAAGAAGACCTAACTGCCCATCTGTAACAAAAGTAGAGTGTATTCACAGGGATACTTTCATTCAAAAAAAAACTCCAAACGATTATCTCCCCCCCCCGCCCCGTTCCTGTACTAAAGGGGACACATATCTCAGTAAAAATTCATCACTGGGCCTAAATATGTTGGCCTGGTTTCATACCCGTTCTGTACATTGAACTCGACAAAATATGAGCGAAAGGTGGGAGCTCTGGTTGAGTTCACATGAAATTTCAACATACATACAAAGCAACGTTGATTTTGAGTGGGAAAATAATCAAACACCCCCAAAACCACCTCCCAAGGAACACAAGGGACGACGCACCACACACTGCATCGGGAACCGGATGAGAATTTGGCTCCCAGCGTCACCGTTGCCCTCCACCCAGCGGCACGCAGCTCACCGGCACAACAAAACCCGGCACGGAACCCGGCACACTGCCCAGCATCTGCGCGCAGCAGGCCCTAGTCGGCGCTGCTGCTGCTGCGAATTCGCCGCACGCACAATCGCCGGCACTGTCGGCACGTCGGCTGACAGCACCGCACATGGCCACAGACATATTCTTTCTCTCGGTCCGGAAGTGATGGGCCGCTTAGGGTCATTTGCCGCAAGAGAGCAGCTCTCAGTTTAACACGTAGTAAGCTTTATTATCCACAATATCATCCACATTAGAGGTTTTTGGATTTAGTCGCGTAAATGTAAAAAGAGGAATCAATGGAACTGTGATGATGGTTATGCTTAACGGATCAAGAATGGATCATTTTTGTGTCCTTTTCAGCGTCTCGCTTTGAAGCATTTCTCGCTGGTGTCTGTCTCGTTTGCACAGTTTAGTGCGCTTCCAATAGCCTTAAAACTGACATGTGCCTATCACCGTGACATTTCTTCAAGGGAGTTGTTACGCGCCCTTGAACGGACGGGTATCTCTGGTTTCCTCCCACACAGAGCTGAACGCTCGCTGATGGAATTCAATGAGGCCACAAAATCCCAATGAAGGCAGGAAGCTCCTGAAAACGACTCCCGGAGACTCGGCGAGACTCTCACGGTGACAGCGCACGGCACGCGTGGAGCCCATTCAGGCAACGCCCTGAAACTCAGCGGCATCTCTTGAGCCTCCTGAGACTCGGCGAGATTCTGCCGAGTAATTCGCCACGGAGGCGAGATGTTAACTACCTCGCCTGGTATGCAGGTTCGTGGGTTCAATTCCGACCCTGACATTTGCATGTCTCTCTCCCCATGATCGTGTGGATTTTTCTCTGGGTCCTCCGGTTTTTCCCTCCACATTTAGCATCAACGTACGTTTTAGAGTATTTGGCTGCAATACGTTTCCACATAAGCCACTTTGCTGAGCTATCATTTGTGGCCAGGTCGCTTCTGAAAAAGAACTACACAGTTCAATGGACCTTATCTGGTGAAATAAAAAATAGTTGTGAACTATAGTTTGGTATAAATGGCCAGGC